CCACTTCGTGCCTACATATGCAAATTAACCACCATCTTTGTTGGCGGTTATTTTGCATATCTTGATTAGCCAATGGGAGGCGTAGCAAAGGTAGTCAATTACCATGTTTGTCTTATTATTAGATAGGACTAGAGGCCTGATGCATGAAATTCATACAAGTGAAGGCTGTTGTTGCAGCTGTGGGCGGCAGCTGCCTGGATCCCTCCCTCGCAACCGCAGTGGCTGTGTCATCCTGGAAGGACATCCGGTCTAATTAGCATATTATGCTTTTATTATTATAGATTATTTTCTGAGCACTTCCTATATATTTACTGCCCTGGAGATAGCACTGTGGTTAGGAAAACCAGCCTAGACTGTCTGGGTTTCATTATCTTTTCCACTATTTGCCTTCTGGTGGGTTATTTTGGGTTCTGTAGAAGCAATCTTCAGACAGGATTAGCTATGGAAGACTTATTAAGAGGAGAGCTTTCCAGGAATAAGCCTGCTTTAACTTCTCTGCTACATTCAGTCATTGCTTGGGAGTAAGGCTTGGAGAGTGTGGCCTCAGATTGAACACAATGGATTTCAGAGCACAGCAGCTGGGACATTGGTCAATTACACTCCACACAGTTGGAGATCTGAGGCTGATTTTCATGACCACACAGATTTATTTCTCCACACAAGTTGGGTTACTAAGCTACTCCCTAGTTTCCATGGATCTGGGAACAAGCCAGAGCAGTTCTACCTCTTCGCCTGATCTGTGACGAGCACTTTACAGGTAGCTCTAGACCAGCCGTGGGCAAACTACGGCCCGCTGGCCGGATCTGGCCCGTTTGAAATGAATAAAACTATTGAAATAAAAGACTGTACCCTTTTATGTAATGAAGTTTACTTTGAATTTATATTAGTTCACACAAACACTCCATCCATGCTTTTGTTCCGGCCCTCCGGTCCAGCTTAAGAACCCATTGTGGCCCTCGAGTCAAAAAGTTTGCCCACTCCTGCTCTAGACCATGTCAGACTCTCCTATTGAAGAGTAATGTTCCCAGCCTCAGTACCCAGAAATCTAAGACAAATGAGGGCATTTGGAAGAGTGTTAAGAGTCACAATAATGTGGATGATTACCTGCTTTATTTTTAAATCCTCACCTGAAGACATGCTTAGAGAGAGGAAGGGGAGACAGGGAAAGAAACATCAACTGATTGCCTTCTGTACACGCCCCAATCAGGAATTGAACCCACAACTTGTGCCCTGACCAGGAACTGAACTAGCAACCTTTGAGTGCAAGGGGTGATGCTCAACAAACTAAGCCACTCTGGTCAGGCTATTTTAATTTCATTATCATCACTTTTAAGTGTTTCTATTGATTTTTAGAGAGAAAGGAAGAGATAGAAACATCATCATTGATCAGCTGCCTCCTGCACACCCCCTCCCAGGGATCAAGCCTGCAACCCAGGCATGTGCTCTAACCAGGAATTGAACCAGAGACCTCTTGGTTCATGAGCCACACAGGCCAGGCAGGCTATTTTCATTTTAAATGTAGAAGTTATGGGAAATTATCCCAGGCTATTCTGGAGTCAGAGATATCAAAAAATGAAAGTGAGCTTTTACCCAGGTTTCCCAATTCCTACTTAGCTGACAGTAATGGAAAGTATCAAGTGGGAAGACTAGGATATGTAAAATTAAATACCTAAATGTCATTTTCCTGTAATATTTTAACCTATTTCTTCCCCTATAAATTAGAATAATACTTATTCTATAACATTGCTTAAAAATTAATATATTGGGAAAGGGCTTTGTAAACTATTAAGGGATAAACAGTAGAGATTATTACCAATGAACAGTATTGTGGTGTGTTTTTTTGTGATTTGGGATTTACTTCTGTCATTTTCTGAAGGAACACCAGGCTCCAAGACAACAGTAAACTTTTTTTTTTTTAAAATCCATTCCATTTCTCCTT